GGCCTGAAACCTGACTGAAATTCTTCATAGAGATAATTTTTTTGCAGGAAGGAGCACAATTGAGCAGACAACTTTTTCAAAAATTTTCAGATTTCAGATGGGTCTGTAATTTGCCAGTTCACTAGGATCCAGTTGTGGTTTCTTAATAAGAGGCTTAATGAATGAAGCTGAAGTATATACGCTGTAGAATCTACATTTGTTATTGTATTTCTGATGTTATCTTTTTTATCTGTGAAGAAAGAATGTGCCCATGTTGCTAGTCGTTTTGTCTAGTTCATGTGTATTTATGGGTACACAGAGCAGTTGAGATAACTGTCTTTGGTGGCTGGAACAATAGTTCTGCACGGACGATAACGTAGAGCCATATAGTTAATATCAGTAATATGCAGCATGCACAATATAAGGAAATGGTCAGTAACATCATCACTTTGAGGTACGATATCTATATCAGTAAGATCAATTCCATGCAATATAATTATATTCCGCTGCGGGTGCACCCAGGGTCCGTGGTGTCCCGGCGCCGGAGTGAAGGACATCTGGGAAGATCGCGTCCTGGGTGCACCGGGCCTGTGCAGAGAAACACACGGAGTAGAGGTGGTGGGAGAGTTAGCAGCGCACTGTATACTTACCCCGGACTTGTGAGCGTCAGCCCGGGATGTTTCCAGCACGGCTCTCCGCTCTCTCAGCTGGGCCTGCCTCTCCACCAGGTCGCGAATCTGCTTCTCCACGAACTCCAGCTCGACCTGCACCGAATGCAGCTCGAACGTGTCCTCACCTGCACTCAAAGGTAGACACACATCCGCCATTAAAGCAAGTAACAGTGAGTAAAACAATGGTAATGTGTGTGAATAGAGTATTAGCAATGTAAGCGAGATTAGCGGCAACCACGCTGGCGATGCTATATGCTAATAGCGGACTTGGGAAATCAAAATAGAACTAGTGATAACAAGGCGCTCTGATTGTTTTTGTTGTAGAATACGATAGGGGATATATTCACACGTTATAGAAACGAAAATGATGGTGTATAAAATTGATTTTAAGAAAAAAAATAGACGATAAAGAATTAACTTGACGGAGCTCAAACTCAAAACACACGGCAGCAACAATCAGGAAGTGACGTAAAAGTAGCGTACTTTTGCAACTTCTTGGGGTTCCCTTTAAGTATTTCCGTTGTGGTCTGTTCTATTTGTAACAAGTTTCTGTAATTGGTTGCTCTGTATTTGCAGCTCGTGTATGTATTTGGTTGCTATGTGAGTATTTGCAGCACATGTGTTGTCAAACTGATGATGATGTTTTCTTAATTTGCTGGTGTTTTTTTCTATTTACATACGTTTTCTTCAGTGGCAGCATTTTAAGCTCTCGGCCACCATACATACTGTATCTATTTTAGGGCTGGCTATCACCAACAACCTCAATTTGAAATGCATCACAATTCAATTTAGGGTTGCACAGATTTGTCAATGTGTGTTGTCACTAATCAGTGCATTGCATCTGTGTCGGCTGTTTGCTGGTCACAGCTTGTTCAATTGTTTTCAATGGAATTCAGCTGATGTATGGCCACAATTTAATAAAACACATTAATAAACATGCAAGGATCGATAATATCACTGCAGTCCCATAATAAGTAGAATCATGATTCATTGATTAATTTTATCAGCACATTTCTACGAACGCTAACAGAAAAACCTACCCTTAACATAAACTGTCACCCATACTCTGCTCTGTCTCCATCATTCAACCCTCTGAAACACTTCACTTCCTCTTATAGAGTTCCTCATTCGCTCTCACTCATATCTCTTCTCAGTGCCAGATCTGACTCCTGCTTTCCTCCACTGATGGGATGAAAGATGTTCTGTTCAGTCTGAGCAGGCTGTTTTATGAACAGTGTCATTAGAGTTTTCTGATGATGTTTACTATTTTTTTTTCTTTTTTTTTTGTAATGATTATGATGTTGATGATTAGTATTTGCAATAAAAGACAAAAAAAAATGTATGAAAATGATAATGAAGTGATTTTAATTAAAACTGTGATCTGTTGACAGGAAATACAACTATTTTTATTATTAATATTATTAAGAATAATAATGACTTATCGAGGATGATTGAAATAATAATCCAGTCATATTAACTAGCCAATTGCAGCATTTATTTGTGTGTTTTGCGTGTTTGCCCATTAGGTACAAGCAATGGCTCTGTGCTGGTGTACAACTTGACCAGTGGCCTCCTGCACAAAGAGCTAAGTGTCCATTCCTGTGAAGTCAGGTAAGAAGCCGCATTTTACTCTAATCATATACAGTGCTGCTTGAAAGTTTGTTAACCCTTTAGAATTTTCTATATTTCTGCATAAATATGACTCAAAACATAATCAAAATGTCACACAAGTCCTGAAAGTAGACAAAGAGAACCCAAACAAACAAATGAGACAAAAATATTTTCTTTGCCATTTATTTATTGAGAAAAATGATCCAGTGTTATATATCTGTGAGTGGCAAAAGTATGTGAATCTTTGCTTTCAGTATCTGGTCTAACCCCCTTTTGCAACAATAACTGCAGGTAATGTTTCTTGTAACTGCTGATCAGTTCTGCACAACATCTTGAAGGAGTTTTAGCCCATTCCTCAGTACAGAACCACTTCAACTCTGTGATGTTGGAAGGTTTCCTCCTATGAACTGCTTGCTTCAGGTCCTTGGATTAAGGTCCAGACTCCGATTCCAAAACATTAACTTTGTTCTTCTTTAACCATTCGTTGGTAGAAAGACTTGTTTGCTTGGGGTCGTTGTCTTGCTGCATGACCCGGACAGATGTCCTAACATTTTCCTTCAGAATTTGCTGGTATAATTCAGAATTTATTGTTCCATCAATGATGGCAATCCATCCTGGACCAGATGCAGCAAAACGGGCCCAAACCATGATACCAGCACCACCATGTTTCACAGATGGGATAAGGTTCTTATGCTGGAATTCAGTGTATTCTTTTCTTCAAACATAACGCTTCTCATTTAAACCAAAAAGTTCTATTTTGGTCTCATGTGTCCACAAAACTTTTCACCAGTAGCCTCTGGCTTGTCCACATGATCTTTAGCAAACTGCAGATGGGCAGCAATGTTCTTTTTTGGATGCACCATGCACACCATGGTTGTTCAGTGTTCTCCTAATGGTGGACTCATGAACATTAACATTAGCCAATGTGAGAAAGGCCTGTAGTTGCTTAGAAGTTACCCTGGGTTCATTTGCAACCTTGCAGACTATTATACGTCTTGCTTTCGGAGTGATCTTACTTTGTTCATGCCATGATACACTTCCACAAACATGATCAGACTTTGATAGAGCCCTGTTCTTTAAATAAAACAGGGGACACACTGACACCTGATAGCAATTTCACTGATTGAAAACAATTCTGAAAAACAGATGGACTCTCTTCAATTTAACTGCCAATCCTAGAGATTCACATCCTTTTGCCACTCACAGATATGTAATATTGTATCATTTTCCTGAATAAATAAATGACAAAGAACAAATTTCTGTCTCACTTGTTTGTTTGAGTTCTCTTTGTCTTCTTTTTAGGACTTTTTTTTATTATTTTTTTTATTATGTTTTGTGTCATATTTATGCAGAAATATAGAAAATTCTAAAGGGTTCACAAACTTTCAAGC